TAAAATAAGATTGTTTTTAATTTAAATAAAATTAATTTTAAAAAAGAAATATTTAAAATATGAGGCTTAATTACCTTTGTGTGTCAAATAAAAATATACTTATTACATGACATAACTATTTCACCGCATTCTTAAAAGTAAACCCTTTTCATTGGGTTCCAGGGGGCTCCAGGAGGAAGCGGACTTCCTGGAGAATATGGGGACAAAGGAGAAATGGGCTCACCAGGGACAACAGGACCCTGGGGTGCGGCAGGTCAAATGGGTCTTCCAGTAAGTACTGCTGGGTTCACTTAACTCGGTACCACATGTGCAGGCAAACACATGGTCGTATGCCATACACACACGCACACACACACACACACACACGTACCCCCACACACACACACACACACACAAATGAGCAGACACCCACAACACACACACACCCCCCAAACAGAACAACACAACCCCACACACCCACAAACACACATGCACACACGTGCACAGGCACATGCTCATACACACACCCACACTTTAGCCTTTTGTATCTACAGGGTGACTGGAGATGCTGAACTATGTCTTAAATGAGTGACAAAGCAATTACCAGTCGTCCTCAGATACAAAAGGGAAAAGACATTTTTATGAACAGCTGAACTTCTGTTATAAAGCTTTTGTTTCAGGAGAGTCTACCATTGCCTCAGAGTTAGTTTGTGTAAATATCCTGCATCTTTGTTCATAGAGCCCGTGTTCTTATTATAGAGTAACATCTTAACCCCCAGATTAAGATTAAGCATGATACACTATCAGTACCTGTCCCTAAATTATATTGCTTTAAAGGAAAGTCTAAATTTTATAGTTAAAAAAGTTCCTCTCCTTGAGACTAATGTAGGATGTGAATAATGAATCGGTTTTAGAGGCTGTCTGTGACACTCTTCCACATGAGCATGATACACTATCAGTACCTGTCCCTAAATTATATTGCTTTAAAGGAAATTCTAAATTTTATAGTTAAAAAAGTTCCTCTCCTTGAGACTAATGTAGGACGTGAATAATGAGACGGTTTTAGAGGATATCTGTGACACTCTTCCACATGAGTGTTCCAGGCATCGAGGTAGCTGTCAGGTCAAAGCTTTACGGTTGCCACTGGTCTGGCATGTTTAAGCAAGGGAGATTATTCCATTTTTACTTCTCTAAGTTTTCTTAACTGCGGAGACAGTTCTTTCCTTGGTAGAAGAATTCCTACAGTTCTCCTAAGCAACAAGAAAAGATGTCCCTCTGCTCTGTGCACTGGCAACCTTGAGCCTTTTAAAGAGTCAAGGTGAACGTTGAGCTGTGGACATCTCGCTGGAAAATAACTCTAGAATAGCACATCTCTACCTCCCAGCCTCTCATTACCACATTCTTCTGGGCTCCAGTACTTCCATGTCAAGGCTTGGTAAAGACTGAGGAACTAGCCATCGGTGAATTCACCATGCAGGCAGGCTGGGAGCACAGCAGTGGTTTATAAAGTTGGTTATTATTATGTACTATTCCTGTGTGTCTCTTCATTGGCTTCTAATATCCATATCAACGTCTTATCAATGGTGTAGCCCCTACCCTAATCAGCTCAGCTAAGTTTGCCTCACCAACGTGAAGATGCTATCTTGAAAAACATGACACATACCATAAATGAAGCTCTAACTGGCTATCTCGTCACTCACAATTATCTACCACTGGAGTTCCTTGAGTGGCTGTGTAAACAACGCTATAATATAATTAATGTGACATAATAAAACATATATTCTCCCCAAATACTAGGTGATGGACCAAGCATGTTTCAAACTGCCATTTAAAGAATGAGGGTAACGGGGCTGGAGAGATGGCTCAGCAGTTAATAGCTCTTGCTGTTCTTGCAGAGGACCTGGGCTTGGTTCCCAGCACCCACATGGAAGCACACAGCCGTTCTCTGTAACTCCATTTCCAGGGAGTTCATTGTTCTCTTCTGACTTCTGCAGGCAACAGTCATGCATGTAGTGTGCACACATATATGCAGGCAAAACACTTATGTACAGAAATTGATTAATTAATTAAAGAAAAGTGTGGGTAAAGCAGAAACTCACTGTGTTTAAATATCAGCACCTGGAGATTATTCTTTCCAGCTTTGCCATCATGATAGATTGTCCATCTCTCCTCTGCCCTGATAGCTCAACACAGCACACACAATGGCTTAAGGATCCTCCCTGAGATTAAGCAACTTGAACTCACC